CATGGGGTCTGAAGGTCCAGGACAGCTTCCTCCGAGCCCGGAGGAGGACAGGCAGAAGGACTCATGTACAGCCACTTTGCTGTGACTGGCCGGGCTTGGTCACAGGCAGGGCTCAGTGCCCTGAGTGGTGGGGCTGCAGGCTCTGTGAGCTCCTGGGTGGGGCTGACTGCAGCTGTGTTCCCTGCTCCCTGAGGAGAACCACTCAATGTAGTGTGACTCATTATCATTAGAGCAGATTTACTCCAGGGAACAATATTTACTTTTAAAAATAAAACGTCGAGAAGGGATCTGCTGCTTGCTGTCACTTAATAGATTAATGTTTGCAAAGCTTTCCTCCGCAGACACACAAGCGTGGGGACTGATTGCTGTTGGGACAGTGGCTCTGGAGTCAAGCTTGCCCAGGGGGAGACGCCCAGGGGTCAGACCAGTCTGCCTGGGTTTGTAAGTCCAGCTTTATACACACCACACGCCTTCATTTCTACATCACCCACAAATGCATCTGTGGTATACAGTGGAAGTAGAAGCCAGGAGATCTCAGAGCCCCATTTACCACTGCAGAAGTTTGCTGGCCCTGCTCCAAGATGTAGCTTTCTCTCTGCTTTGATTTATATTCTCTCTTAGGGCCAGTACACAAATCTATAATAAAAGTCCCCAAGTTAATGTAAGCTTAAGAACTCAAGAATTTGATGTGTCTGTTAATTTACAGTACTAAACCCAAATGTTAGGGATGAATACATAACCAAACACTGAGCTTCCTGAAGTGACAGTAAATGTCTTTCCCAAACTGTGAGTGCTGTCCTGGCCCATAGGCCCAGATTCCGGCTGGTTACCTCCCTCTGATTATTTTATGCATAATGGTTAGGACCACACAAATGTATTAACGAGCTAATTAAGCAATTCATGTATGCATTCATTTTATTTTTAGTCTCAATAAATACTTAGTGAGCGCCAGGCACTGTGCCAGGCTCTTTGGAGTGCAGAGATGAAACGACTGTATACTGGGATGATGATGAGAGAGACCAGCCTGCGCCCCACAGGATACTGCATGTGGTAAAAATTAGCATAGTGAAATGTGGGGACCCACAGGGGGTTCCCAGCAGAGCTTGTGTTGGTGTCAGAGATGCTAAGTCAAGTTGAGACCTGTTCTGGGTTTGCTGCCTAGTCTTTAAGTAACATTTATAATGGTAATGTTGGTAATTGTTTATCTTCACCTCTGTGTTCCTGGGTCGCCATGGCTTCCAACAGGGAAGAGGTTGACTGAATGAGGAGCCGGCAGAACCGGTCCTCTGCAGCCTGTCTTCATCCCAATGCTAGACACAGTTCTAGGGTGTGGGTCCCAGTCTCCTCCCAGGTCTGTTTGACCTGGGTGTACAGACAGTGACTGTAGGTCTAGAAGCTTCCTGCTAACCAACGCTTAACAAGGGGTGGGCGGCTGGTCAGGCACAGAGACCTTGTCAAGAGATCAAGTACTGGTGTCCTTTCAGTGGCCATAAAGGGTCAGACAGTGACCACTGTAAGGCTACAGCTTCCCTCTCCCTCCAGGACTGGTGTGGTTGGGCCTGGGTTGCCAGGCTGTGTGCACAGGGCTGTTGACTCACTAGTAGCGGTTGCAGTGGACTATGGAGTTGTTTGAACCACTAGACAGCCAACTCTCAAAGACCCAGGTTCTGAGACTGGAGAGATGGCTCAGTGGTTAAGAGTACTGACTGCTCTTCCAGAGGACCCGGGTTCGATTCCCAGCATGCACATGGCAGCTAAGAGCCATCCATAACTCCAGTTCTAGGGGATCTGACACCCTCTTCTGACCTCTGCTGGCTTTGCATGACATGGGTACACTTATGCACACGCAGGCAATACACTCATACATATAAAATAAAAATAATAAATAAATATCTTTTTAAAAGATGCAGATTCTCTGACACTCTGCAGGGCAACACCTGTAGGACCGGTGGCTTTTGCCTCCCTGTGTCTGCACTGTGGGATCTGGCTCCTCCTCCAAGGTCAGCTCTCAATGGCTCACTTCCTCCCGCCACATGTTTGGCCAGTTAAGTACCTTTTGAAATCCATTTGTGAGTTTATAGTTTATAGAGTCACGAAGAATTATTAAAATCCTTTTGTGGCCCATCCACTTCTGCTTCTTTGAATCAATTCAGGACAGTGTAACGAATGTGCAACCAAGGAGATATCATTGGACTGTGGGGGAAAGAAGCCCATTTTCATGTCTATCCAGCTTCACCCCATGCACAATTTTAAATGCAATCATGTGTTTGTTCCATTTAGGGAAAGAGAGCTTTAAAATGAAACTTTAATTCATCTGGAAAAGATAACTGGACGGAAATGCAGCCAGCAAGTCATCTGATCTGCAAACCAAAGGCGCTCGGCGTAGGGAAGCCTTGCCTCTTGAAACGAAGCTAAGCGGCATTCGCGGGAACTAGCTGGTCATCTGGGCACGACGCTTGGAATGCTGGGGGTCAAGATATGCACATCCTCTGTGGGTCAGCTCACTGCAGGTGCAGAGCTGTGAGCCGGCCTTGGTCAGCTATGAGCTCTGGGTTGGGAACCCCCACCGCAGAGTTGTTCATCGAGGGCGTCTCTACACCCCCTGGGAAGGTTAATAGTGACTGTGGACAGGATCTAGACTCACCAGAGAACCAAACCTCTGGGCATGTCTATGAGGGGGTTTCTAGAATAGGTTAACTGAGGTGGGAGGACCCTCCTTAAATGTGGGTGGCACCGTTCCATGGGCCGGGTCCTAGATCACAGAAAGGAGAACGGGAGCTGAGCAGCAGTATTTAGCTCTCTCTGCTTCCTGACTGAGGAGGACCAGCTGCCTCACGTTCCTGCTACCATGCCTTCCCCAGATGCACGACTCTCACCCTGTGAGACGGCACGAACCCTTCCTTCCTTCCTTAAGTTCCCTTTGGCAGGTGTTTCGTCGCAGGGATGAGAAAAGGACCTAATGCAACATCTGTGCCATCCACGGGGTTTTAAACATCTGGGCTTTGCCCACTGGGGTCCACAAAGGCCTCTGATATGAAACTGGGAGTCTGGGCCAGCTCTGGAGACTCCCTGTGCTGACATAGTTGACAGGTGCCCATGGTTAACTGTGATACTGCAATGGTAGAATCCAGCTGAGAGTCCCCACTTCTGCCATGGGGGTGGGGGGCTCTGGCTCCAGTGGTCTGTCTCTGGTGCTGGGGCCTGAACTCTCCCTAGGTGAGGCCCCACCTGCCATGCTGCTGCCTGTCTGTCCGCAGTGTTAACTTTTCTACTAAACTCCTTACTCTCCAGCAATCTGTCTGTATCCCTCCTGAACCTCCATCCCAAGTCTTTCATTAAGAAGGCAGCATTCTCCAGAAGCCTGTGGTTTGAAAGAGGGGTGAGTGCCAAGGGCAACATGCCACAGCTCCGGGACCCAGCGACCTGACTCCGAACAGCCCTCTGCGGAGTTCCATCTTCCGAGTTCCTGGCAGGTCCAAGTCTATGCACACGGCTACAGGGGCGGCATGCTAACCACATTGGGTCTGAGAACCCAGCACCTGCTACGGTTTGGATATAAACTGGCCCCGAGATTCAAGTGCTGAGAACTTGGTCACCAGATGGTGGTGCTACTGAGGGACTGTTCACTTTTGAGGATGCTAATGTCATCCGTGGAGTAATCCATTGATAAATCACAACCGTGCAGGTTGCTAGGGTGTGGAGTCTGTGGAGGAACGGGGTCACTAGGGTGTGTTCTTAAGGGTCTGTCTTATCCCAGCCTCACCCCCTTGGTCACCAGGCGGTGAGCTGTTCTGGTCTCCCACACATTCCCATCATGCTGTTCGATACTGTAGTCCCAGAAACGAGGAAGACAGCTGAGCACAGGCTGAAAGTTCTGTGAGCCAGCAGGAAGTGCTTTGTCATGAGCTGGAGAAGGTGTTAGCGCACACATGTGTGTGTGCGAGCATGTATATCTGTGTGTATACTTGTGGTGTCTGTGCATGTGTGTATAAATGTGTTTGTGCATGTGTTTATGCACGTGTTTGTGTGTATATGTGTGTGAATGCATTTATGTGTCTGTGCATGTGTGTGTAAACGTGTATGTGTCTGTGCATGCATGTGTAAATGCATATGTGCATGTGTTTGTGTGTATATGTGCATGTATGCATTTATGTGTCTGTGTTTACGTGTGTGTAAATGTGTATGTGCATGTTTTTGTGTGTATATGTGCATGAATGCATTTATGTGTCTGTGCCTTGCATGTGTATGTGTAATGCATGTGTGTGTTTGTGTCTGTGCACATATGTGTGTATGTGTACGTGTCTGTGTCTGTGCATGTGTGTGTAAATGTGCATGGGCATATGTATGTATATGTTTGTATATGTGTTTAAGAGTATGTGTGTATGTATCTGTGTGTGTGTACATGTGTGCATACACACGTATATATGTGTGTATGCATTTGTGCATGCATGCACGTGCACATATGTGCCTGTGTGTATGCATGTGCTTGTGTGCATGCGTGTTTGTGTGCATGTGTGTGCGTATGTGTGCACTTGCTTATATGCAGTGCCAGAGGTTGAAGGTGGGTGATCTCTATTACTCTCTCCTTTATTTTTGGGACGAGGCTGCTCATTGAACCTGGACTTGCCATTTCCGCTAGACTGGCCATCCAAGGAACCCCCATGACCCTCTGTCCCCACACCCCAGTACTGGGTTTCCAGGGGCACACTGTCACAACTCGCTTTTGTGTAGATGCTGGTACTCAAACACGGCTCCTCATGCTTGCACAGCAAGCACTTTACCCATCGATCTATCTCTCTAGCCCTTAATATTGATTTTTTAAATGATAATCCTCTGTTTGAAAAATAAATGTCCATTAACATATTCAGATACCTAGTGCATTTATCTAGAACAATTATACATCCACACACCCCACATGTCAATGATGTACAGTGAGACATAGCTTTGAAATGATAAACTTGGTAAAAATCAAAACATGGTCACTGAACTCGGTTGCTTACCAGCTGCTGGCCTTTCGGGCCCCACCCTGCATACTGGAGCCTTGCGTTGCTGACTTCTGGAGGGTCCAGACTCTGAGGATCCCTGAGAAAACAGATAGACAAACAGAAACAAAGCAAGACATTGGGAACCAGGAATGCACAAGGCTTCCCCTTCCCCCAGCTAGCGTTCACTCCTTTCCAGAGTCTGCTTTTTATGTTATTAAACAGTGTGTCTCCTTCAGCATACTCCAGATTTCTGCAGAAGTACATAATTTATGTGAGGCTGAATTAGGTCCATTGCTGCTTAACACAAATGGTAAATATTCATCAAGAGGAAACATGCAGAGACATCTATAGATCAATTTTTATAATGTCCAGAGCAGTCAAAATTAAGCATTGAAACGCACAGCCAAAGAGCAATAAATCCCACCCTGGATTTTCTCATTGCTGGCTCTCCTAGCAGATAATTTTTTCTAAGTATGAAGCCAGGTCATTCTGACATTCTGAAGCCAGTGGCCTCGACATAGACTGCATTTGGGGGACGGAGGGCCGAACAAACGGGAGGGGGTGGGGGACGGGAGGGAGGGAAGCTGGAAGATGCTTTTCCTAGTAAACCTCTCTTATTTTTTCATTCTTTATTTTTTGATATTTTCCAATTGTGTCTGCATGTGAGCCAGAATATGTATACAGATTGTGTAGCTATGTTTGTATATGTGCTTTGTATGTGTGTAAACATGTTCATGTGCACATGAATGCATGTGTGGATTTAAGTGTGTACATGTGGAAGCCAAAGGTTGGGGTTGTGTGTTTTCCTCAGTTGCACTCCACCTTATTTAAAAAGATATTTTATTTATTATTTTTATGGCAATGTGTGTATTGCCTGCATCTAAGTGCACCCATGTCGTGCAGTTCCTGTGGCAGTCAGAAGAGGGCACTGGATTCATCTATAACTGGCATTATAGAAGGTTGCTAGCCACCATGTGGGTGCTGGGAATTGGACACCGGTCCACTGCAAACGCAGCTCTTAACTGCTGAGCCATCTCTCCAGCCCCTTCACCTCACCTTACTTTTTGAGAAGGGGTCTTTCACTGAACCTGGAGCTCACTGATCTGACTGGGCCAGCTGGTCAGCCACCTCTAGGGATCCTCTGGTCTCTACCTTCCCAGTGCTGACATGATAGGTATGTGCATTGGCTCTTTCCATGGGTGCCGGGGATTCAAACTCAGGTCTCCATGGTTGCATAGCAAGCACTTTACTGATGGAGCCATCACCCAGCCCCATATTTTTCATTCTTAATTTATGACTATACAACATACATATATATTGTGTATATATTTAAATGTTCTAAGAAACGAAAGCCATAGCAAAACATTAGACACAAAAACATCTGTAACACTATTGTCGCTTGAATATGTCAGTGTGATATGTAGCTGCTGCCGTCATCCACACATAGAAGAACTGATCTTCACAGTCCCTTTAGCAGGCACACCCCACCTGCACAGTGGCCTCTGCACCCTGGGAGGGTAGGACAGCCAGAGAAGTACCCTGCCTCCATGGCATAGTCCCTAGACTGCAGACAGAGCTGTGGATGTGCTCATCCATCAACAAGGAGAGAATGGCTGGATTGTCATCTGTCTTTGGGAAAGGAAGACTGCACTTTAGGGGTGCTGTAAACAATGGAGGGGAGAAGGAAGGGAGGGAGGGAGGGAGGGAGGGAGGCAAAGCTGGTCATTACATGATCAGGGCTTGAAACAGAAACTTCTAAAGTAATACCCATACTACAAGAAACAAGACAGAAATAAACACAACGGGAGACACACAGGAAGGAAGATGGGGGAGGTGTGTGTCCAGGGGAAAGACACAGGGAGCTTGGAGATAGGGGACAGCAGGCCAGGTATTGGGGGACAGTGGGAAGCCAGTCCTCAGGGAGGTGAGAAGACACAGGGATCTGGACATTGCAGGTCACAGATGGGGTTTCTGTTTGTTTTTCAAGACAGGGTCTCACTGTGTAGCCCCAGCTGGCCTGAAACCAGCTATATAGACCAGGCTGGCCTCAATCTCACAGAAATCCATCTGTTTACCTCTGCCTCACAGGTGCTAGGACTAAAGGTGAATGCCACCATGCCCTGACAACAGATGGAATCTTTATAAACTCCAGAATCATGATTACTTTTACTGTTCTTTTTTTCTGCTGTGTGTGTGTGTGGTGTGTTCCTTTGTCAGTTTATGTGAACCACATTAATGCATACAGAGGCCCCAGAGGGTGTCAGATCCCCTGGAATTGGAGTTGCAGGTGGTTGTGAGCTATAGCGTGGCTTCAGGAATTGGAACTGAAGAAAACCCACTCTGTAAGAATAGTTAAGTACTCTTAGCCATGAGCCATCACTCCAGCCCATCGTGACTTATGGTGATGAGGAGAGTAGGGTTTTCTTTTTTTTTTTTTTTTTTTTTCGGACTTTTTGAGACAGGGTCTCCCTGCAACTCACTATGTAGACCAGGCTGGCCTTGAACTCATAGAGATCTGCCTGCCTCTGCCTCCAAAGTGCTGGGATTAAAGGCGTGTGCCACCACATCCAGTGAGAATAGGTTTTTAATGCTGTATCACTATAAAAAGTCTATGAGGTGTGATGTATACTAATTAGCTTGACTAATCAGTCCATAATGTATGCATACATCAAAACATCATATAAACATCATAAAATATAATTATGGTTTGCTAATTTAACCTCCTCCGAAACAGCCTATGGTACATCCATACGATGGAATCCAGTGAAGCGGTGAGGAGGAACGAGAGCTGTTCATACGTGACTGTTCACGGGGGACGCAGAGCCCAGAAGAGCATTGCATGCTGCTACTTGTTATGTCGCAGAGACATGCATGAAGATAAACATGCATGAAGTCATCTACAAAATAAGAAGGAAAGGAACCTGAAGCTAATCCGACTGGTTGCAGGCTCGTTAGCCATGGGAGTGGGTGGGAACAGGTGGTTTGCAGAAGGTGGTGTTTCTTGTAACGGGTGCCTTTGTATCATACCAGCAGGTGGGTGCCCCTCAGGAGGGGGCAAAATGGCTGCTTTTGTCCTAAGAATGTGCGAAAGTCAAGAGAAAGAACAAACACTAACTCAAACCCTGAAGACGCGGTTCTCTCCTCTTTCCTAGCTGGGACTCTCCCATTGCTCAACTTCTCAAACTCTCTAAGTTGGCCAACTGACGCCACAATCCCCCATGAGATGCCTGCAATCTATCCCAAGACACTGTGACAGCTCATGGTTGAGGGAAGTCAGGACAGGACGTGGTGAAGAACCAAGAGGACCACTGCTCATGGGCTCCTCACTGGTTCATGCTCAGCTATCTTTTTAAAATTTACTTATTTTTACTTTATAGGTATGAGTGTTTCTCCCATAATTTTAAGTGCACTGTGTCATGCATTGCCTGCAGAGGCCAGAAGAAGGCATCGGATCCCCTGGAACTGGGGTTTCGAATGGTTGTTGGCTGTCATGTGGGTGCTGAGAACCAAACAGGAGTCCTCTGTAAGAGCAGCCAGTGCTCTTAACTGCTGAGCCATCTCTCCATATCAGCTAGCTTTCTTATACAGCTCAGCCCCACCTGCCTTGGGATGGTACTGCCCACCATGGGCCTCCATCAATTACTAATTAAGAAAATGCCCACAGGGTTCATTTTTCCTTGGCCTTTCATCTGATTAGTCAGACCAATGTATTGAAATAAATAACAAATAAAATAAAATGTTAATATAATGACTATATGACATTTATTTAAAAGGCCTAATCATTAATGAGACATGAGGGCAAATTTGCTCTCTGGGACTTGACAGTGAACAAAATGGCTGAAGTTTTTGAGGGGTTGGTGGAGACCTGGGTTTGGGGCTCAGGTTCGCCTCCCACATTTGCTTTGGTGAAGTCAGTCAGTCAGTCAGTCATCAGTGAGTTAGACAACCTATTCATCCATCCATCCATCCATCCATCCATCCATCCAATCCATCCATCCATCCACCTACCTACCTATTTAATATTTTAAAAACTGCGTACATGCATGTGCACCACTTGTGTGTAGGTCCTCTCAATGGGCCAGAAAGTGGCATCAGATCCCCTGAAAGTGGAGTTACAGGTAGTTTCGAGCTGCCCAGTGTGGGTGCTGGGAACCAACCTCTGGTCCTCTACAAGAGCAGCAAGTGCTCTTAACCAGTGAGCCTCTCTCCAGCTCTAGTAAATCTGCATTTTTGTCCTTCTTTTAATATTTATTCAATATTAGAATCCTTGTCCATTCTTCAAAGTAATCGCTTTGTTTATAAGCCGGTCTCTCTAATTTTCCCAAGGGAAGGTTGGGACCAATGCTTGATTTACCCTTCTTTTGTATTTTTAATTTCCCAGTGATTTTATCTCTGGAAATTCAGTGAGATGTTTTACATTTTCTGTAGGGCATGTAAATCTGTATTTTTGCACTGGGATTCCATGGTATCAGATTGTTTTGCTTTGTAGTGGGGTGGCATCCCCAGTGCCTGCTCCACTGGGGGAATCCATGTCCTAGTTTTTCTCTGCATTGCTGTGACAAAAAACTCTGACCACTACCAACTTGAGGAGGAAAGGGTTTATTTATCTTACATCTCCAAGGTCACAGTTCATCAGGGAGCCCAAGACAGGAACCTGGAAGCAGGGGCTGGAGCACAGGCCATGGAGGAACGCTGCTTACTGGCTTGCTCCCCTGGCCCCTGCTCAGCCTGCTTTCTTATGCAACACAGGCCCACCTGCCCAGGGGTGGCACCACCCACAGTGGGCTGGGCCCTCCCACATCACTCATCAAGAAGATGCCCCTCACACATGGCCACAGGCCAGTCCAATAGAGACAATTCCCCAATTGAGGCTCCCTCAGTCCAGGTGTGTCACGTTGACACTAAAGCTATCCAGCACAGTCCACCTCTGCCTTTCATTCTCTGCCCAGCCCTCCACTGGATGGTGGCCCCATGCAGTCTTTCTCTGCCCAGCCTTGTAAATGCCCACATAGCTTCCATTGAATCTGACCCCCGTGCACCTATACATGGACCCCTGAGAACCACTGAAGAGCTGCACAGAGCCGCTGTATGTGGGGG